TCACCATATGGCAGGACTCCTCCAGGTTTGTATTACTGAGATAAAATATCAACGTTGCAAGTCAGATAGAGTCACATTGCTGCTAGCCAATCTGATAAGATGTCCAAATATCAGAAAATAAGACTCTAAATCCTGACTCGTGTGCTCTCTGCTGTTCTGACGGTAATGTTTCGGACTGCCTATCTGTAGATGGTTCCCCACAAAATGTTCCACCAAAGACCCAATGGCTGATTTTCCTCACCTCCCCAACACACAAAACCCACCTAAGATTTAAACAAGGATAAATGTTGGTTTTCTTTCGTGGAAGGGAACCTTAATGTCAGAGGTGGATTTAAATGAGAATGCATTTCACGTGATCTGCTACAAAATAAATAAATCAACCAAATGGAGGGTTCTGTGTGCTAAAGAAAAAAAAATACAATCTATTTAAACCAGCCCCGAGCACATGCCAAGCCCTGCTCTACATAACCGTATATCTCACTTAATGGATTGAACCTATTACCCAGCAACCTGCCACCACCTCCTGATTTATATTAGCTTATAAATAAGGCAGGAAGGGAACGCTCAATAAAACAGCCTGAGACTTACAGTCAAATATCACTGTCTAAATCAGGCACTAATAAAAAAAATTACTGCATCCTCCTGAAACGTTGACACAGGTGTGGAAACATTTAGACTTTTTTTTTACAGCTTTGTGGTTTCACAAGCACCAGGTTGAAGGATTAAATCCTGCCTCTGTCCCAAAGTAAAAGACAAAGTCAACACTGAAATAAAAAAATCAGCTTGTCTGAATTTGATTTTTGTAAAAATGTAATTAAAGAAATGTTGTAGATAGCTCTTTGAACAACCTCAGTTTGAAGAAACAGAGATCAGGTCTGACCTTATTGATGAGCTAACAGTTAGTCACAGCAAAGCCAGTTCTACAGATAGCTATGGTCGGGGGTGGACTGGGACCAAGTCCCGGACTCTATCCCGCTGAATGTGACTGTGGGGGTGGGGTGGGGAGGGGGGGGGGGGGGGGGGGGGGGGGGGTTGTGACGGCCCAAACGGGACAATGCCAGAATGCCAGATAGGCCATTTCACCCCTGGTTGTTGTGTTTTCACATCTGGCCTGGTCCGGTCTGGTCAAGGTAGCGTCGGCCAGCCCCTACGCAGCCAGGTTGTGTTCACGCCTTTTCAGGAACGCAAATGTCTTAGAGCATGTAGGCAAGGCAAAAGACACAATGAGAAGTCCGTGAATAGCTTGGATTAGCATGGACAAATCTGCTGCCCCAGAGGTAAGCAGGATTTGGACTCTTTATTTCCTGATATTTGGACATCTTGCCTTTGATTGGATAACAGCAACATGACTCTGCCACAGACTTGCAACATGGTGGTTTTATCTCTACAAATAACACGAGCCTGGAGGATTTTTTTTCTGTGTGATGGAGTAGCTAATGCTAATGGTTAGCTTTAGCTATTCAGGACGTTCTCTGCTGTTTTCTTGACGCTAAACCAACAACTGCCTTCTCTGTCGTGCATCAGTTTGGGTGAGTCCATGAATGTTAAGTGACAGTGTGACGTAGATCTGTCAGGATTTTCTAATCCTAGAGTTTCACCGTCTATTTTCTACCAGAAGCTAATGCAGAAGATAGGTGTAGGAGACTATTTTCATGCCTGCATTAAAAACATACAGCGACTGATTATAATCAGAAATAATCATTTTAAAATGTTTTTTTAGTGAACCAAACCTTTAAGTACCACGTGACCTTAAATTAAGCGCGGCTGGATTTGGATTATGATGTTAAACACAAACATACAAGGTGATCCTTAGGGAGCCATATCCTGCTGTGGGTTTACTGCTGTTGTTGTAAAGCTCTTAAGGTGGAATGTCTAAATTAGATTTGTCTAAAGTTGTGCTCAGGATCCCACTGTGGGTTACAAAACACCAGCTTAGAGGTGCTCTCAAGATAATTATGATGATTAATGGGGAAAAAAATCAAAATATTAATCACAAGTGGGTTTTTTTTTGCTTCCTTAATACTTTTAGTTCACATGATGTTAACATTTTGTGGGTCCGAAAATAAAACATTTAGGAACAACAAGAAAAGCCATTAAGTTTATTCTATTTTAAGGATTCAATTAAATTCAATTACATTTTATTTATAAAGCGCCAAATCACGACAAGAGTCGTCTCAAGGCACTTCACATAATAAACATTCCAATTCAGGTCAGTTCATTAAGCCAATCAGAAATAATGTTTCCTATATAAGGAACCCAGCAAATTGCATCAAGTCACTGACTAGTGTCAGTGACTTGATGCAATCCTCATACTAAGCAAGCATAAAGCGACAGTGGAGAGGAAAACTCCCTTTTAACAGGAAGAAACCTCCAGAGGATCCTGGCTCAGCATAAGCAGCCATCCTCCACGACTCACTGGGGATGGAGAAGACAGAGCACACACACACACACACACACACACACACACACACACACACACACACACACACACACACACACACACACACACACACACACACACACACACACACACACACACACACACACACACACAAAGTCAAAGTAATATGTCTATAGTTACATTGTGATGTCTTAGTAAATATTCTATTTGGTGAAAGATAAACTTTATTGTATTTATCCTAGTGGATCTATAATTAAACGGGTAAACTAGTATTAGCACATCAAAAGTCAATGAAAACAAAAAGTTATTATCAGGAGAGAGAGAATGTTTAAGTGGTTAGCAGCAGTGTGCTAGACGATGGCCCCCTCCATGAGGCCACCACAGCTCAGCAGAACATCGTTGTAGCTTCTTCTGGGGAGAAAAACACTTAGAGAGAAAATAAAGTTAACAGCTGAAATAGCAGGAAATAATACAGTTAAAGAGCAGATTGTAGAAGAAAGCAGTAGAGTGTGAAAAGTGGTCAGTGTATCCTCCAGCAGTCTAAGCCTATAGCAGCATAACTATAGAGAAAACTCTGGATAATCTATCCTATTTAGATGGAGGCATGTTGGAGGCAGGGCAAGGGAGAGCCATCTTTACCGACTGTACACTCCACCTCCCTCTACTCCCCCACTTGTCCAGATTCAGGCTAACATCAGATTTTAACCATAGCCCCTATCAAATAAAAATGTTTTAAGCCTATTCTTAAAAGTTGACAAGGTGTCTGCCTCACAGACTAAAGCTGGGAGCTGGTTCCACAAGAGAGGAGCCTGATAACTAAAAGATCTGCCTCCCATCCTAACTTTAGATATTCTGGGAACCACCAGTAAACCTGCAGTCTGAGAGTGAAGTGCTCGGTTAGGAACGTATGGAACAATCAGATCACTGATGTATGATGGACCTTGATTATTAAGAGCTTTATATGTGAGAAGAAGGATCTTAAAATCTATTCTGAATTTAACAGGTAGCCAATGTAGGGAAGCCAAGACAGGAGAGATATGATCTCTCTTTTTAATTCTCATCAGAACTCTAGCTGCAGCATTTTGGACAAGCTGAAGACTTTTAACTACATTCTGTGGACTTCCTGAGAGTAATGAATTACAGTAATCCAGTCTTGATGTAATAAATGCATGAACTAGTTTTTCAGCATCACTCCTGGAAAGGATGAACAAATAAAAGCATTACATTTTACATGTCCCACATGGACATGCTCTTTGTCTCATATTTTGCTGGTTTGGATGTGGTCATCCCACCTGAGAAGCATCATTGATGTGGGGGACTTGGTGTGGTCCAGAAGGATCCAGCAGATCCATACTCAGGATCAAATATTGAGGAGGTGGCTAAAGTGATAAATGATGAACTGATTAAAATTAAAAACTGGTTTGATATAAATAGATTGACACTGAACCTTAATAAAACAAATTTTATACTGTTTAATGATAAAAAGAACAGTGATGTGTCATTGGAAATAGATGGGATTAAAATTCAAAGAGTGAAAGAAACTAAATTTCTTGGAGTTCTTATTGATGAAGACTTGACATGGAAATCCCGTATTAGTTACATAAAAGGTAAAATTGCCAAATCCTTAGGAGTATTACACAGAGTCAAGTTTTTACTGACTAATTCTGGTTTGTTGGCGTTGTACACTTCACTGATTGTTCCATACTTGACTTATTGTGTAGAAATCTGAGGAGCAACATACAAAAACTATACACAACCCTTATTTATTTTACAGAAAAGAGCTCTGAGAATCATCATTTATAGTGGCTGTAGAGATCCATCGAGCCCATTGTTTATTAAATATAAATTACTGATATTTCATGATTTAAAAGACTGGAAAATCTTACAAACCATGTATTAGGGCCAATTTAGGTACTCTGCCAACAAACATTCAGGGGATATTTGAAAAGAGAACTAGTAATTACATGCTGAAAGAAACTGATGTTTACAAAACCTAGATTTAGAACTAAAGTTAAGGAGTGGAAAATATCTGTAAATGGTGTTAAATTATGGAATAACCTTAAAAGGGAAATAAAAAAAACTCTGTCATTTAATATATTCAAAAAATGTACCAAATTTAGTGAACTAAATAATTATGAAAATGTAAATTAAATCAATGATCATGATCGCGCTGGAATTTAGAACAGGAAAAAGTTTTAAATGAATCTGTGTGTCTGACATATGGTAATTATATAAAAATTGATTATTTCTTCTGGAAAAGGGGGCAGAAATTATAAGATGTTTTTCTTCATTCTGCTCCTTTTCATTCAAATTTGATTTTTTTGTTATGTATTTCTTATTGTTTATATGTTTTCTTTGTTTTTATTTTGAATGAAATAAAAAAGAGAAAAAATAAAATAAATACTGAGCATCTAAAGTATAAAAGTCACTTGGATGCTGGGTCAAAATGTCAATAAACGGACAAAACTGTTGGACAATTGAAAAGAACAAAAACTGAGTCCGATCCTCTGGGCCTTTTTATTTTTGCAGCTTTTCTTATATCTTTTATGCTTCTTCCTTCCTGGTGCGTCGATGGCTTAAATGGTTTTCTTTGATCCAGACAGGGTAACCGAGGTGAAGACGAACATCTTTGTCACCAGCTTTGGACCCGTTTCAGACACAGACATGGTGAGTCCAAGACTGTAACATTTATTCATTGTCATCAGTCCCTGTTCAGGACAGTGGGACGCTTGGCTCGCTTTGTCTTCCATTTGTTGTGGCTTTCCCTAATTACGTCCCTCTGCATTGTTTGTTTGTCTTACACACACACACACACACGCACACAGATGCTCTGATACAGAAGCCTGTATTCCTCTCGTAGCATGATGTCTCCACATCCAGACTTTTTAATCTCATACATTATTAAAAGTCTTCTTGTGATTTACATCACTCGTTTGTTTATCCTGAGATTTCCTGTGTATTATTCTGAAACATGGAGCAACAACCACATCATATCTTCTCCCTTCCTTCTGTTGTTTAAAACCTGTTTTCCAAGTGTTTGATGAATTGATTTAGCAATAAAGATGCAGACTGAAAGTAAACCAAGAGGGCTTTTAGCTAAAAGCAAAGTCATAAGTCATGTAAGAGCAAAATAAACTTTTTTTATTGAGTGTGGCTGAAATCCCAGTTCCAGATCACCACCCACATGTGATCTCCTGTGACTAACTGGCCCAGAGGATGATCAGTCCACTAATTGCAGCCAAATCATCCCTGGTGTCTTAAAAAAACACGGCACACAAACAGATGGACAAACGCACACATAAGACAGACATTCTATCATCACAGAGCATTTTCATTTATTAAACACCAGCTTGCACAAACAGACAAAGCTCTGCAGATGTTAAGGTCAAAATTTACCTAATCGACTCCAAACCAAACCGAACCAAACGTCCTCCCTTTGTGAAACCCCCCAATTTAGTATCCTAGCATATGTAGCATGTGGTGTTTTATGGTGATAAAACATTGATAAAGAATAAGAAAAGCAAGCTTTGGGTGAAGATTGTTGTTTCTGTTTTAGTTGTTTGTTAGCTTTGTTAGCTCGCTAGCTACACATTGCTACGTGCTGTTAGGACAACATATGCTCACTGCACGGAGCAAATTTAAAAGTTGTCACAAGTTGTGCCAAACAAACTGGAATATCTGAAAACCTAGACCCCAGATCTGTTAAATTTTGACACTGAGGGCGGAGGCAGGAGGCCTGCCACAGCCTCATAACCACCTGACTAATTGCCGAGCGACACTACGGAGGGCCCAACTCCACCCCGAAATCCACAACCCACCTCCCCAGTGCGCCTTAAGCCACAGCATCCGCCCATTCATTACCCACCACCCCTACATGTGTGGGAATCCAGATAAGGCACACCTCGCAACCATTAACACCCAACCAATGCAACCCCTCCAGGGTAGAAGCCAGCAAGTCTGGTCGAGACCCGGAGCGCTGTCCCACCAGTGTTTCCAGAGCCGCCGCCGAGTCAGAGCAAATAACTGACCGTGGTGGAGCATGCTCCCCCACCCAATGTAGGGCACACATAATAGCCACCAGTTCAGCTGTAAACACAGAACAGCCATCACGAAGCCGGCGGCCACAGCTGTAACCCAGACTCGGAACCAACAACCCCACCCCCACTCTCCCACTCACCGGGTCCTTTGAGCCATCCGTAAACACCTGCAAATAAGACCCCCAAACCGTCCCCAAAAGACCCATAAAATCATCAGCCCTCCCGGCAGCCCGTTCCCGTCCCAAGAAGGAAAAATCAACCTCAGGTACAGGCAAAATCCAGGGCGGAACCTCAGTCCATACCAAATGAGAACTCACAGGCCACTGGAGAAATCCCAACTCCACTGCCCGTCTCTTCAATAGATCCGGAAAACCACCCCAACTCCTCTTCCCGACCCCTCGAATTCCCAATGTCAGCTCAACAACGCCGTCGCAGGGGCAGACTCCCACATGCCCTTAACCCCCAGCAGGTAACGGAGCCCCAATTTGACCCGCCGAAACTCCAAAGGGATGTCCCCAGCCTCTACAAGGAGGGCTGACACCGGGAACAACCTAAATGCCCCAGTACACACCCTCATAGCCGCTGCCTGCAACACATCTAGCTGCTTCAGGGTCGATGACGCAGCCAAACCATACAGGAAACTCCCATAATCCAAGGCCGATCTGATCATACCTGCATACACCAACATCAAAGTGGTTCTGTCCGCCCCCAGTCCGACCCAGCCAGACATCTCATAACATTCGGAACGCGGCCACACCTGGTCACCAAGCCCCGCACATGTACCCTCCACGTCAATCTCTCATCCAACCACATGCCCATGTACCTACACACTGACACCCGTTTCAAGTCCCACCCCTCCAACCGCAGCCCCACCTCAGGACCCTTCCTCTTAAAACCAAAAACCATATACTTAGTCTTGGTAGGGGACAACACAAAGCCCCAGCGTCTCGCCCAAGACACCACACCATCCAAACTCTCCTGCGTCTTACGAAAAACAAAACGAAGATTACGACCACGCTTCCAGAAAGCCCCATCATCTGCAAACAGTGACCGTCCCACATCAACACCAAAGGAGACAAACAGACCGTTGATCATGGCATTAAACAAAACCGGGCTGATCACACTGCCCTGCGGTACCCCATTTTCCACCCTGACCGACTCGGACAGCACCGAACCCACCCTCACCAGGAGCATTCTATTATGTTGGAAGCCCCTGATCCACCGCCACATCTTCCCCCGTACCCCAGCACTGTACAGAGACATCAACAGCCCATCCCTCCACAGTAGGGTTGTCACGGTATGAAAATTTAACCTCACGGTTATTGTGACCAAAATTATCACGGTTTTCGGTATTATCGCGGTATTTTTTAAACGGTGTTGCATATGTTCAGAAAGCATTGATAGTCCTGTTCTACACAAACTGAAATAGTTTAGAAAAGGTTTAACAGTGTTTATTAAGCCTAAAATAACACAAAGCCTTAGCAAAAGTGCAACTTTTCACAAGTAAAGGAACAAATAGCTTCTTTTTCTGGAACATGTTACAGTAGTCAGTGCAGGTTTAAATTATACAAATCCAAACATTCAAAACATAAACAATATGTAAACAAATCAAAGAAACACCACTTGTTTTCTCATATACTTGTTTTCTTCATTATCAAAATGAAAATCTAAAACTCCAGTCCACACTTGACTTGAGCGCTGTACAAGTCAACCTTAAAAAATATGTATTTAAAATAAATAGCCACTTTAAACAAATGACTAAAATAACTACTACACTATGTAATCAAATCCAAATGTTCAAGTATAAATGGCATTGAATAAGTAAACAAATCAATGACAAGGAACTAATTGTATATTTCTCTTCATCATCAACAAATAAGATGCTTCATGCAGCAACAGGGTGTCCGTGACACGGTTTAAATGCTGGCAGAGGACGCTGCGGCTGCAGTATATAGTGACTCGTTGCATTCTCCCTCAACCAAAAGTCCTCACGTCATGCATTTAAGCTAAAATGCTAATGTTAACTTACCTTGCACTGGCTGTAGAGACGTGGGTGATGGTCACGCAGATGTGCCATTAGATTCGAAGTGTTGCTGCCTTTTGCAGACACTTGTTTCCTGCACGTTCTGCAAACGGGATAGCCGTCTTCTATTAACTGTCCCTCAGCATTTTTCAGAAATCCAAAATATGCCCATACTTCCGATTTAGTCTTCTTTGAGGGCGGATGGATGTCCTGAGCGCTGCCGTCTCCTCCTTCGGCCATTATTTCAGCTTCAAAGTTTTGGTGCCGTTGCAAACTAAAAAGTGTGTGCGCGCGCCGCGGGAACTTCAGCTGAAGCGACGGTGGCTGGTAAGGGTCATCGCACCGAAACCGCGGCCACGGTAAACCCACCGAGATAATATAGTTTTTTAAAAACTGGACGGTTATTTTTATTGTCAACTTTTTTACCGGGGTTTACCGCTATACCGGTTACCGTGACAACCCTACTCCACAGCATATCATATGCCTTCTCTATGTCCAGGAACACTGCCAAGACCACCTCCTTATTCTTCAAAGCCCGCCTGACCTTCAAATCCAGGGGTGCCACCGCGTCCATAGTGGAACGCCCCTGCCGAAACCCACACTGGTACAGGGCGAAGATACCACCGTGCTCCAGGAAGTACACCAATCATGAGGAAACCATATGCTCCATCACTCTACATACTACAAACGTCAAAGCAATGGGCATGTACGAATCCGAAGCCCCTGCAGGTTTCCCAGGTTTCAGAAATGGCAAAATGACTGTGTGCTTCCACTCAGCTGGCAAGCGACCAAACAAAGTTAATAAAGGACAAGACCTCCTCCAGGAATAGATCCCCAGCGTGCTACAGCATCGGGTACACCAACCCATCCCTCGCAGGACTAGTATCTCTCCCAGTACGAATGGCTCTCTTAAGTTGGAGAAATAGAGGTTCAGATCAACCGGCCCCTCCTCATCCTCTAACAGCTGGCACTGAAAACCCGACACCTCCCTCTCCCGGTAAGCACAGTCCTTGGCCGAGACATTTGCTGAGCTATTTACTCTCTGAAAGTGAGCAGCCAACAGATTTGCCTTCTTCCCATCATCCGACACCAACCGGCCTCCGTGTACAAGCACTGGAATCCTGTGCCCAACCCGCGCACCCGACATCCTGCGAACCATACCCCACAGTGTCGTGACAGTGGTATGAGGCCCCAACGTGCCACAAAATTCCCTCCAGCCAGCCTTCTTCACAGCCCTCACCACCCTTCTAGCCTGTGCTCTCAACCTCTTATAGACCAGCATGTACCCTTCCACCGGATGCTTCCTAAGCTGCCTATTCGCCCGATTCCTGGCCCGTATCGCTACGCCACACGCTTCAGTCCACCACGGGACCATCAACCGCCTAGCAGGGATCCACTTCCTAGGTATAGTGGCCCTGGCCACCGAACACACACACCCAGAGATAGCTGAATACCAGCCATCCACATCCTCCTCCCCTCGCAGCTGGCACCCTGCATCTTCCAACTGTTGCGAATACAAGGACCAGCGAGCACGCTTAGTTAAACCCCATAGCCAGACTGCTCGAAGCCTCCACCATCTCCCTACAAAACTCCACAAAACTGGCAGA